GATGTAGGTTCAATGACCGGTCACGATGGCGAACCCGACAAGACGCTTGTACATTGTATAACTTTCTTTTCTTTTTTTTCCCACACGTGACAGCACTGGACAAATTATACTGATTTATTTTCATGGCGTCACATTTAAAAAAATTAAAAACAAGGGCACGGCAAAAATGGCCGCGGTTGACCCTGTGATTTTAAGGGCATTGAGGCAAATTGCAAAGGCACCAAGGCAAATTGCCGCGGTCTATTTCAAGCCCTGATGATGATGATAATAATAATAATAATAATAATAATAATAGCCAAATAAGAATTGAAATGATAAAGATATTGGATAATAATAACAATAATAATAATAATGAGGAGGGGGATACAAGACGAGCGATAAACTGTCTCCCCGTGACTCCTCCTCTCTTGCCTCTTCTCCTTCCACTGATGCTCCCTCCTCCTCCTCACCCCTCCCACCATGATCTCTTCTTCTCTTCTTTCTCTCTTACTCTCTGCACCCGCTCTCCTCTTCTCCTCTTCCCTGCCTTCCTCTCCTCACCCTGATCCCTTCTTCTCTTCTTTCTCTCTTACTCTCTGCATCCTCTCTCCTTTTTTCCCTCTCACCCCTCCCACAATGATCCCTTTTCCTCTTCCTTTTCTCTTAATCTCTGCACCCTCTCTCCTCTTCTCCTCCTCCCTCTTTCTCCTCTCCTTTTTCTTAATCATCTCTGCCTCCCCCTCTCCCCTTTCCCCCCTTTCTTCTGCCTTTCCCCCCTTCCTCCCTTTCCTCTCCCCTTCTACTCCTTTACTAACCACTCCCCCCCTCCCCATCCCCAGCTGCTAGACGCCATGAACAAAGACTCTGGTATAGAACTGACCAGTCTCAAAGTGGACGGGGGAATGACGGTCAACGCCCTGCTCATGCAAGTCCAGGCAGACATACTGGGCATCCGAGTGGGTCGGTACACCAGTTACTTTTTGGGTCAGAGAGGGTCTTTTAAAACAATTTAAAAAAAAAAGAAGTAAGTCTTTGCGGCGCTCGCAACTGCATAAGGTCATATGAGAGTCAATGGGTGGATGTCAACAAAGAAGTCTAAACGGGGAATTAGGCCTTCTCTGCTCACCTCTCTAGCCTCTACAACTTAAAGTCTGCTTCAACTATCAAGGCACTCCAGAAATAGCAGTTCACAAGAGAGTGACAAACATACAAAAGAAGTAGAGGAAAAGTGACAATAGTAAGGATGAGGAAAGAAAATGCAGCAGTTCCCCGTATGTTGTTCGGGCACAGTATGATCATGACATTGATAATTCAGCCCATTTACAATTCTACTGTGTATAAGAACATGTTGATATCCCCGCTTTAGGAAAGGCCTAAAGACTCTTCAGTCAGTAGCACTACCCTGGGGAGGAAAAGGGGGGGGGGGCAAGAAAGGGCCTACGTGGGTCAGTACACCCGCTACTTATTGGGTCACAGAGGGTCAAAGTTAGTCTGTTCACTAGCTACTATTTGGGTCAGAGAGGGTCAAAGTTAGTCTGTTCACTAGCTTCTATTTGGGTCAGAGAGGGTCAAAGTTAGTCTGTTCACTAGCTTCTATTTGGGTCAGAGAGGGTCAAAGTTAGTCAGTTCACTAGCTACTATTGGGTCAGAGAGGATCAAAGTTGGTTGGTACAGAAAATGTATGGTATTATCGTGAAATCAGGACCTCGTCGAAATGTTGAAATCAAAGAAACAGACTTTTTTCCACCTGTTGGGCAATATTTTTTTAATGATCATATGTTTTGGGCTCAACATCTTTTTTATTCATACACGAACTCATTTCTGCATGGATTTTACTGAAAAACGTTGATCAAAAGGACAAAAATGTAAATTTGCACTTTCCAAGGTCATCCCAGCTATGGAAGTCTTCAAACTTTGGCAGCCATTAAAAAAAAATTTATCTCGACACCAGTGGCCTCCTACCTCCTTTCATCTCAAATATCTTGACTTCTATTCTAGATATGTTGGTATATATTTTTTTTCTCCGTCAAAAGCAAAGCATATAAACAGTCTTTAAGATTATATCAATAACTCCATATATGTAAAAAAATTTATAGAAAGCCTGATTCGACGATATTATAGTTGTCGGGTCATGGACCAGAGTGAGTTGGTAAACTTATGTCTGTTGTCTATGTGTGTCCCCCCCCCTCCCCAACCCCCCACCCCGCAGTTCGCCCCTCGATGACGGAGACGACCGCCCTGGGAGCCGCCATGGCGGCAGGAAGTGCCGAAGGCGTGGAGGTCTGGAAACTTCCGGGAGGGGAGTCGGGACCCATCACCTGCGACACGTTTGAGCCCTCCATCTCACAGAATGGTTAGTGATTAAACCCTTGAAGGGGAGGGGGAGGGATTGGGGAGGAGGAGGAAGGAGTGTTGGGTAGAGGGGGTGGTGTTGGGTAGAGGGGGTGGTGTTGGGGAGAGGGGGTGGTGTTGGGTAGGAGGAGGAAGGAGTGTTGGGTAGAGGGG